TGTGCCGAACCTCCACCCTTCAGTGGTGAACAGGCGCAGCCAGACCGAGCGTCCGTGTGTCCCCTACCTGGTATCATCTTGCCATGTCTGTCCTTCGAAGGCAAGGGACTTGTAGGATGGAGTTTAAAAAGGAGATTAAAAGCAGGAGCATCCAAAAGGAACCTTCTTTCCCACAGTATTTCTCCTTGATAGGGCAGACAGTGGAGTCCGAGATAAAATTTGAATCACATATTTAGAGTTGATGCCACTTTAGGAAGGGTCTAGTGGGTTCCAGTCTCCCATAACCCTGTTGAACTGGGACCCTTCTAGTTAAAAGCTCCTATTATTTTCATGCTGGTAATGTGCACACTCAGAACTATTTAAAGCAGTTGTCAGTTTCCTACAAAATGAAAATAAAGGTAGCTCCCACCTCTCAGATTTATAGCGAAGATTAAATGAATCTGTACAAACTACTCAGAACAGTGACTTAATGCTTAATATTGAGTGTTATTTATTGTTATTAATCACATTCTGATTTTCCTGATAATTTTTTTTACCAGGGATGATGAAAATACACGGTCTATGGATACAGGTTTTCCCAAAGAGATAGCTCATGGGTTTCCTGGAATTGGCAAAAAAGCTGATGCTGTCTTCCAAGAGGGAGGTAAAGACCATCCAGTTGCTCCATTTTTCCACCATAGAAATGACACAGGGGCTGTTCCTTAGACATGAAAGCAAATTGCATGTGTGAAAATGTATATTTTTTTCAAGAGTTCATGTATAAAATCACTATTTGTCTAATATGGTCACTATCTTTCATCTTATTTCTAGGATTTTTCTATTTCTTTCATGGAAAAAGGCAGTTCAAATTTGATCCTAAAACGAAGCGAATTTTGACTCTCCTGAAAACGAACAGCTGGTTCAACTGCAAAAATAAATGATGATTGACTATCACAAAGGAGAAAAGAAAAAAAAAATACTTCTAATGAGCTCTGGGGAGGTGTTTTTCTGAGGACCCACCAGATACTTCGGTATTTTATTTTCATCTCTTGGCAATATTGAGACACAGACATACGAGTACCATCTTGTTTATCCTCAGTCTGAAGATAGTCTGTGTTAATGAGATTGTGCTGTTTCACAAACTTTCACAATTTAGCTTCAAGTGAGTGCTGAGGTCATAATTCATCCTTAGGCTTAAATAGGGAAAAGCTTTTTGTCACCATTCTATGCCATTTTAAGTGATTATACTTCTCATAATAACCACATTCTCCAATGTTTTGTCTCTAGGCCAGGCAAATTCACAATGCAAGTATGTGGGAAGATAGGATGTACAGAATTTCAAGTACTTCCCATGGCATATGCATCACATAAGGGGAAGGGTCTGGTTATTGACCTTCCCCTCTTGTTTCAAGCTAAGCCTTTAAGTCAAATAATGGAAGGGATTGGGGCACCTGGCTGGCTCAGTTGTAGAGCACACGATTCTGGATCTTAGGGTTGTGAGTTGAAGCCCCATGTTGGGCACAGAGCTTACTTTTAAAAAATAAAAATGAGCAGGTTTTTAAAAAAAATAATGATAAGGGAAGAGATTTATTGGGCTTTGGCTAGGGCTCCTGGTGGAAGCACTGGGTTAAAACTTCTCAAGTACTCTTCTAGCTAACTTCATAAAGTTAGGAGCTTATCCCTGAATATTAGCATGTTGGGCCTTGCCCCCCAAGGAGCTTCCCTACAGAACACCTGGGGCGGGTTTCAGGTTACATTGTGCAGGTGTAAGTTTGCCAAGCCTAGCTATTGCTGCTGAGAAAGAATCAATGCGATGCAAGTTGCCTTTTTTGCTCAAATTATTTCTCATAGGTTTTCTGGTGGAGCTCTGTGGTTAGGAGTACCTTGATTGTATAATGTGTGTTGTTGAGTTGTTTTTTTTTTTTTTCTGTTTACCATGATAATAAATGCACACTCAGAAACTCTGGGCAAGATGCCAAGCCAGTGTGGGCTCCTTCCTTTGAACAAAAGCTGCAGAAGTAAGGGGAGGTGGGTGCATCCTAGAATCAGACACAAACGGGGAGAACACTTGAGTGGGCAGAAGGACCCAGCTGGCATGGGGGGAGGCATCCTGTAAGGGGGAGGCCCAGCGGCCTCCAAGGGGGGCAGGCTCTGGAAGCACATTCTGCTGGTGTTCCTTCTCTCCCACACGTTGCATGGCAGACCTGGCAGGCAGCAGGACTGCAAGAGACAAGGGATAAGGTCAGGGTAGTGACCCTATCTCACACACAGAAAAGCTCAGGTCCCTACAAGGTCCCTCAAGCTCTGCCACCTTTGAACCTCCTTCTCTGGTATTCTCCCCCTTGGTGGCTTCATTCCATGGCGGTGGCTTCTTTGCTGTTTTCCAGCACGTGAGGTGTATTCGGACCTCAGCCCTTTTCCCTGAGTTTCCCTCAGATGTTTGCATGGTTCCGTCCTGCACATTTTCTCCGGCTTTGCTCAGATGTCCTTCTTTGTGAGATCTTCACTGGCTTCCTCTTTCAATATTACCACGTATGCCTCCCTCCACACAGATGTAAACATATTTGCGATTGTCCTACACAACTCTGCAATTATCCCATAGCCCCTAACACCTTCTAACGTAGTCTATAATCCCTCATCACCTCTACTGTTCACCGCCTGTCTGCCCTCTTCAGTGGAGGCTCCCTGAGAACGAGGGGCCATAGTTTGGGTTCGACTTTATTGTTGTTTTGTGTTGTTTGTCTGACTTACTGATATAATTCAAGAACCAAGTAAGGGCTCGAAAAATTAATAAGCTAATACAGAACTGATGCAGGATGCCAGCAAACCTGGGAAGTCAATAACAAGGTGTGTCATCGGCTCGACCAGCAATTGGAGGCCTCCAGCCTTCTGTCCTCCCCAGCCCAGATCCTGGAAAATCAGACATAATAGCAGCCCCCAGAAATGCTCAGAGCCTGAGACAGAATTTCTGAGTGGTTCCTGAAGGGGAGGACCCACTGATGAGGATATGAAATGAAAGCAGTTTGTGCAGACTTTCTCACCAAACACCCTGCCCCAAGCGGCTTCAATTCTATCTTCGTCCAATTCACAGAGAACAAGCCAGGATCTGCAGAGGCTAGGGAACCTGAGAGTTTCATGGAAACATTTGTAATACATATATCTGACAAAGGACTTTGACCCAGTATATATAAAAAGTTCCTGCAAATCAGTAACATGACAAATAATCCAATTAAAAATGCATAGAAGTCTTAATCAAATCAAACTAGTCATAAAGAAAGTTATAAATGGCCAATAAACACATAGAAAAGTACTTAACATCATTAGTTATCAAGAAAATAAAATTCTTATAAGGTATTATTATGAAACCACTAAATGTATTCATATTAATGACTGACAACACCAAATGAGGAGCTGGAATATTTGTACCTCTCATACCTTAAATATTTACCTACTCTATGACCTCTTCCGCACATTCTCCTGGACTAAGTGAAAATACAAACATATAAGAAGCTTGTTTAAGAAGGTTCATAGCTTTATGCATGGTAGCCCAAATCTGGAAATGATACATTCATACAATACAATATTATAGAAAAATGAGAGTGAATAATCTACTAGTACACACAGCAGCATAGATTAATCTGAAAACCATTATTCCACACAAAAGGGTACATTCTCTTGATTCCATTTATATGAACTTCATGATTAGGAAAAGTAATCTACAGGGAAAGAAATCAGAACAGTGGCTGGCTCTGAGGAAGCAATAGGGTTGGGTGAAAAAGAGCACAGAGGGGGCGGAGCAAGATGGCGGAGGAGTAGGAGACCTGGATTTCGTCTGGTCCCAGGAATTCAGCTGAATGGGGATCAAACCATTCTGAACACCTACGA